CAGGTGTTGTGTGTGTGTGTGTTTCACGAGTAACGATCGAGGCAGTTTTGTAAAAATATTCAACAACACGCGGGTGTCTGTTTCACCGGCGATAAATTTGCGCACGGCCGCGCTGGTGGAGGCCCCGAACTGGACTTGTGAAACCTCAAGCGGCCACCACATTTACGCACGCACGTACACGCACACGCACGTACACACGCACGCACGCACGTACGCGCACGCTCGTCCGCCTGTCACCGCAGGAGGCCCTCGCGGTCAGACAACGCACGGCACTTAAATCCGAAATGTGGCGTTGTTGCCGGGTCAAGAAATATTCTCCCCCCTCCAAACGGCGCAAGTTAAGATGATCCCAGTGACAGGAACGCACATTGTGTCTTGCGGGCCCGTTTCTAAGTGGTAGGCCGTGCGAAACGAAGCCGCGTGGGGGCCCCACGTGCCATCGGCCGAGCCCACCACGAGGGGCCCACGGGCCGGGGAGGCCGCTATCGGCGGCTGGGGGCCCGAAAACCTCGCGCCCCATGGCAGAGGTCGCCAGCGACGCGGCGACTTCGCCGGTAAACGCTCACCCCGCGTCGGCGGCGCCACGGGGCAGCCCAAGCGTCGCTATTGGCTGGCGGGAGCCACACTTCAGAAGCCGGTTGTAATTGTTGGCTGCGGCCCGAGTAATTAATTAGAGCGAGACCCGCTCACGGCCGCTGGGGGTTGTAACGACGACGCGATGCTTTGCGCGCTTCCACTGGTGCCGTGCGACGTTCGCCGGGACGCGCCTCGGACAGTCGTCGCGGTTCCCGCCTGCCCCGCGCCTCCCGGTTCCGCTGGTGCTCCGTGCCACGCCTTTACCACTACGTGCCACACATTTACCGCTCCGTGCCACGCGTTTACCACGCGCTTACCACAACGGCGGATGGCAAGAGATGCGGTGGAGCCGCTCGAAAAGAAAACCGGTCACGTGTGTGTGGTGGCTCGGGTCAAGGTCCAAATTTGCCAAATAAAAAAACAACAACACATATTTACAAACTAATGCATTTTGTAAAGCCGCATGGCAACATCGCCTCCCCCTTACTGGCAGACTACGCTCGTCTGTGAACCCGTGGCAAATAGCAAAACACGTATCAAACTCATCATTGAGTTAAAAAATATATATTATTATTATTATTGTTGTTATCGTCATTGTGTGCGGGACTCGGATCACCTCGCGCGTGGCGCAAGCACAGCTCACAACGGACGGTTAAGCGAAAAACAAAGCATTAATAAATCACGTCAAACAAAGGGAAAACACAACGCGTACGTGACACAACGCGTACGTGACACAGACGGGGGGGCTACTGGCGCCAGACGTAGTGCGTGCGTTCCCCTCGGTCGTTCCCCTCGGCCGTTCGAACGCGTTCCTCTCCGGAGCAGAGATCACGATACCGAGACATCACCGCGACCCAAGCCGATGCCACCACCGCCGTCACCGCCACCACGGCCACCACCACAATTGCCACCACCACCACGGCCACCACCACCATTGCCACCACCGCCGCAGATCGCTACCCCCACGTCCCACCCAACGCCAGAGAGAGACCCCTAGACTCAGAGACCCACACAGAGGCCCCTTTGGCAGGTCACGGGAAATGGGAACTCGAGCGCACTCTGTCGAGCGGGAGGGCAGAGGGGGATGGACACCCACGCTTTCCCCCACACACCACGGGGCGCAAACCCGCCAGGTCGACTTAACGTTCCAAAGGGAGAGGAAGACCCGAAAACATTTGGGCCATATACATTTTTTCCGGCCCTCCGCGGAAGACGCTCGCGCGCTAAGTCGGAGCGGCCCGTGCCGCGATGGGCCCATGGCACCGTCGCCACCGCCCCCCGCCCCCCCCATCGCGATCGAGCGTCCGAAAGCGCCGCCGGCGTGCGTGGTGCTCGAGGCCGTCGAGCGTCGCGACGGCGGCACCCAAAACGACACGGACGGCGCCGTGGTCGACGTCGTCCGCGACGTCGCTTGGGCCAAATAAAACCACGCGAGGAGCATTCATCTGTCGCCGTGTCCACAATGCGTACCCCTCCCAGCACAACCCCCCCGTCAGCTTGCTGTGAGAAAGGTCACACGGGACCTGAGAATGCCAACCCCCCCCACCCCCACCGGCAGTCGTAACGACTGCGGCGGTGGCGGCGGCCGCCGCTATTCAGAGCCGCCAGATTGCCCACGCACGCTTTCCTAGGTCGTATGAAAGCATTAAAATAAAAGAGTTTGTCGCGTGATTAGCCGCGGCAAACGCCCGTCCACCGCCGGCTTTTAAAGCGCCGCTCGGCTCGCAGGGGGCGGCTGCCGGTGCCGCATTGTGCCCAGGAACAAAGCTCGGGCGCGCGACGTGGGCCTCGAAGCGACCCACACATTTTTGCTCTCGTAAATAAACCACGGCACAGTTTCTTTACGCGTCGACGTTCGGTGGACGTCCCAGTGGTGGTGGTGGGGGGGCCGCCCAGCGACGACGCCCGACACAAAGGAGGCGGCGCGTCTTTCGTCACCTCCCCGCTCTGTGCGCGGCCGGCCGACTGGGTATCCGCACACTTAGCTGGCTGACGGTTCACCACCCCGCACGCCCACGCGGGGGGGATCTTTACAGCCTTCCCACCTTTCATCTCTTCTCGCGGGGGGGGGGGGGGATCTTTCGCTTCCTAAACCAACAACACGGGTTTCACCCCATCACACCGAGGCAGCGCACGCACGCACGCACGCGAAGGGTGGACGTGTAAATATATATAGGCGCGGATTAGCGCGCGCGTCCAGGACCGCGAAACGCGCGTCCCAAGTCGCCGTAGAGACAGCGGGCGCGGGGGCTTGCGCGAGAGCGATGCTCTCGTACGCACAAGACTGTCGCTCCCGTGGGTACGAAAGCGACTGCTTGCTTTGGCGGGGAGAGGCAGTCGGGCAGGCGCAGGGGAGGAAAAAAAACAAACAAACAAACGTGGGGTTGGATTTAGGCATGTGGAGTTGCCGAGAGGCGTTGAGAACGGGGGTTTCAACGGCACGTTCACGACTCTGAACCGACCAGCGCGGCAGTGACTCGTACGCCTTCAGTGCGGCAGTGGACTGACAAAAGGGCAGCGAGGAGTTAACTTCGTGGATTATTTTGTTTGTTTTCCTTACGGTAGTTGTTTTTTTTTTAGAAGCTCGCCACGCTCTTGCGACCCCGACGAGCCAATGAAAAGAGCACTCTACAAACAGCAGTCTCCGTGTGCGACTCGGGCGGAGTTGAAGAATAACAATCCCGCGCCGTAACCCGAGCGGATGGAGCCCTTCGGCGCTTTTACATTTTTCTTACCCTCGATGGCGTTGCCTCTGTGAAGCCCGGCCACTCACACAAACGATTCCCCCCCCCCACCCCCCCCCCCACCCCCTTAAAGAATATTTTTCATTTAAAAAAACCTCGACCGCGTCGGGAAACCGAGAAACCGAATCGCGACGCCACCGCAAATCCCACGCCAGGTGACACCGACGGCCCCGCGAGTTGTTTTGATTGCGGGAGGGCACGTGAGGCACTGCCCAAAGAAATCCTAGCTAATCCCTCCAAGTGAACGGCGAAGAATGTCAAAACTCGGCGTCGCTAATCCGGCCACCGCCCCCCATCGTCCCCGCCACCACCACCACCACCATCACCTCCACCGCACAACGGCGGAGACGACGACGACTACGGCGGCGGTGCTGACGAGCTCCCATCGTCTTAATCGTCGTGGTGGCGGCGGCGGTGGTAGCGGTGGCGGCGGTGGTGGCGGTGGTGGTGGTGGCGATGGTAGTGGTGGCGGCGGTGGTGGTGGTGGCGGTGGTAGTGGTGGTGGTGGCGGTGGTGGTAGTGGCGGTGGTAGTGGTGGCGGTGGTAGTGGTGGCGGTGGTGGCGGTGGTAGTGGTGGCGGCGGTGGTGGTGGCGGTGCTCGCGCGCCCTGAAGCCCGGCGCCTGTGCTTCGCTCGCAGCCCAACAAGTTGAGACATGCGGCAGATGGCGGAAGCCGCAGGAACGCCACGGGATCTCAGCAATCTCTTCACGGAAAATGATGCACTGTTATCTCCTGAGGTGTTGTGGCGGATGGGAGGGTGCGTGCGGGCAGGCGAGAGGGTGTACAGGAGCACGAGGGATTATGGTATGTAGTTGTGTGGGCTTTGTGCAGACTTTGTGTGGGCTTTGTGCAGACTTTGTGTGCAGTTTGTGTCTAGTGTGTAGTGTGTGTGTAGTGTGTGTATAGATTATGCTGAGTGTGTGTTGCGTGTAGTGTGTTGTGTGTGTGTAGTGTGTGTGCAGTATGTGTGGTGTTTGTGTGTGTGTGGTGTGTGTGTAGTTTATGTCGAGCGTGTGTGTAGTGTGTGTGTGTAGTGTTTGTGCGTAGTGTGTGTAGTGTGTAGTGTTTGTGCGTAGTGTGTGTAGTGTTTGTGCGTAGTGTGTGTGTGGTGTGTGTGTAGTTTATGTCGAGTGTGTGTAGTGTGTGTGTAGTGTGTAGTGTGTGTAGTGTGTGTAGTATGTGTAGTGTGTAGTATGTGTAGTGTGTGTGTACTGTGTGTGTGTAGTGTGTGTAGTGTGTGTGTAGTGTGTGTAGTATGTGTAGTGTGTGTGTGGTATGTGTAGTGTGTGTAGTGTGTGTAGTGTGTATGTGTAGTGTGTGTGTAGTGTGTGTAGCAGTGTGTGTGTGTAGTGTGTGTGTAGAGGACTTTGTGGGTTACAACCGGCCTAGGAGTGGTTGCTCTTGGCGAGGAGCTATCCGGGGGAATTCCTTCGGTCTTCTCGGGGACACTGCACATCCCGGAGTCGCGTCAGCCGCCTTGGGGATCCACGCACGCACGCACGCACAATCCTCCCGTCTTCCGGCACCGTGCGAAGTCTGTCCTTGTTCCGGGACACGTCTTCGCCTGTTACTTCGGTACCTTGAAGAGGTGGCAACACAGAGCGGGAGGCCGATGCCGCTCGTGCCGAGTTGGGGGGGGGTGGGGGGGGGGGTGGGTGGGGCGCGAGCGGGCGGGCGGGCGGGCGAGCTTGCGGCAACGGAGAGCGTTTGTCGGGACGAAGAGAAGGGGGGGCCGTGGCGGCGGCGGCGGCGGCGGCGGCGGGGTTACCCGACCTCTCAGGTGGGACGACGGCCGGCCCTTCAGCCCGCTCGCCCCCCCCCCCGCCCGCCAGCCCGCCCCCCCCGGCACGGACGGATTCAGTATCTATCGTAGGGATGGGGACGATAGACGCCCTTGCGCACGCGGCTCGGCGGGTCCGCCTTGAGCGGGGCCTGCGGCGCTCGGGACCACTCCTCGGGACCTGCAGCAGGCCCACGCACGCACGCACAGAGGGAGGGACGCGCGGCCGTGTCAACGGCGCCCACGGGCGTCACGACGACGGCGGCGACACCGCGGGGACGTTTCATGATTTTGTGTCAGCGGTCAGAGAAGCAGAAACGAGCGGTCGCTGCACTGGGATGGCCTTCGGCGGCGGCCGTGAGCCGGCAGTGGATTTCCACGTTGCCATGGCGAGGGGCAGAGCTCTCCCTGCAGAGCTCTCCCCGCAGGGCGGCCACCGCCAACTCTGGCCGCCGAGGGGCACGCGACGCCTCGCTCGCTCGCCCAACCGCAGGACTCCCACCCACCGGGAATTTCACGTTTTTAGTTCTCAAATTTTTTTTTTACCCCCGGCGTCTGCGTCACGGCGGCTCAAAGAATCCATCCGGCCCGTGAGAAGCGGACATGACCCCCTGAGGATCCCACCAGGATTAAAACTGACGGCCTCCCAATCGTGAGGTCAATGGGTACGTCTATCACGGCGCCACGGCACGTACAGTTTCTTGGTTAAGATAGGCAACGAAATATTACTCGAAATCAGCTTCGTTTAAACAACAACTACAACAACAAAACAAACGCCTAAGCTGCGTTGCACAGCAGTCTGGATGAACACGTTATGGGCGCCACAGCTCGAGGGAGTGGGCACGCACAAAGACAAATGTCCCCCCTGTAGCCTGTAACAGACTGTCAGAGCAAGTGCTGTTCACGAGCAGCACCCATCAAGGCCGGCACAGCACACGAGGGGGGTGGGTGGTCAGCACCACGCCCGGACGCCTTTGTGTCCCCCACTGGTGATGTTTACTACACACAGCACCACGCACTCATTTGAGGCGTGCCTTAAATGAGGCGTGCCGTGCATGCACACACACAGGCTCATACACACGCCCACACACGCCCCCACACACACACGCCCACACACACACCCACGCACCTAATGGAACGGAAATGTAATGGCTGGCTAAGCTTGCCACGAATTGCTTTGTGTAAAAATTTTTTTGTCATAGCCACGAGCTATATTTGAAATGTTCAATTGGGTACAACAAGGCGTTTCTATCAGCCAGCGTTTCAGTTAAGGGGCCTGTCTGTGTGTGTATATGTACTACATATATACTCTGTATATGTACATGTACTGTGTGTATGTACTGTGTATATGTACTCTGTAGATGTACTGTATGTACTGTGTATATGTACTCTGTAGATGTACTGTGTGTATGTACTGTGTATATGTACTCTGTAGATGTACTGTGTGTATGTACTCTGTACATGTACTCTGTAGATGTACTGTGTGTATGTACTCTGTATATGTACTCTGTAGATGTACTGTGTGTATGTACTGTGTATATGTACTCTGTAGATGTACTGTGTGTATGCACTGTGTATATGTACTCTGTAGATGTACTGTGTGTATGTGCTGTGTATATGTACTGTGTGTATGTACTGTGTGTATGTACTGTGTATATGTACTCTGTAGATGTACTGTGTGTATGTACTGTGTATATGTACTCTGTAGATGTACTGTGTGTATGTACTGTGTATATGTACTCTGTAGATGTACTGTGTGTATGTGCTGTGTATATGTACTGTGTGTATGTACTGTGTGTATGTACTGTGTATATGTACTCTGTGTATGTACTGTGTATATGTACTCTGTAGATGTACTGTGTGTATGTACTGTGTATATGTACTCTGTAGATGTACTGTGTGTATTTACTGTGTATATGTACTGTGTGTATGTACTGTGTATATGTACTCTGTAGATGTACTGTGTGTATGTACTGTGTGTATGTACTGTGTAGATGTACTGTGTGTATGTACTATGTGTATGTACTGTGTATGTGTACTCTGTAGATGTACTGTGAGTATGTACTGTGTGTATGTACTGTGTATGTGTACTCTGTAGATGTACTGTGTGTATGTACTGTGTGTATGTACTGTGTAGATGTACTGTGTGTATGTACTGTGTGTATGTACTGTGTATGTGTACTCTGTAGATGTACTGTGAGTATGTACTGTGTGTATGTACTGTGTATGTGTACTCTGTAGATGTACTGTGTGTATGTACTGTGTGTATGTACTGTGTAGATGTACTGTGAGTATGTACTGTGTGTATGTACTGTGTATGTGTACTCTGTAGATGTACTGTGTGTATGTACTGTGTATATGTACTCTGTAGATGTACTGTGTGTATGTACTGTAATGTAGCGGTTAGCCTGGTGTTGTGCGTGAGCGTCGTGTTCGAGCGGGACGCTCGCAGGCTCTCACCGTATTCTTCGTGTCCGTACGCGTAGTACCGTGCGCTGCTGGTGACACAAAACAACAGCGGCGGTCAGTCGCGAGCGACGGCGAGGGATGCGTCACGCTCGCGTCCACCTGCACCCCGGCCGGGGCCGTTTGTTGCCGGGGCCGTTGGACGTGTCGGGGCCCTCGGTGGCGCTGTGATCTCGGCGACTCGCCGTGGTTACTGGTGGCAGCTTGTAACGCGCTGCAAAGTATTTACGCTCAGAACGGCGGGGAGAAGGCACTCGAGAGGCGGAAACACGATTGGCACGGTTGGCTACGCACAGCGCTGAAGAATTTCAACGTACGTACGTACGAGCGGGGAGAGGCAGCAGTAGCAGCAGCCACGCGGTGAGGAGTCGGTGTTAATGGGCCCAGATGGCGACGTGGCCTAACCCAAAAAACGATTAACGATTCGTGATGTGGCCGCGAAAACCTCCTGCACGCCAAGCCTGACCGCATTGTCGTGCAGGGTTGTATGGTGAGAGTTCACGTGCGTGTGTACGTTGAACTTCTTTCACACCATACGTAGACAACCGTGCTTATCGGAGGTGCGGGGGCAAGACAACAAAATAAACACAAAAAGCAGTTTAAAAAAAAAATGAGTTTGTCAATCTAGATTATTTAAAAGTGCATAGCTCCAGTGGCTTTCTAATATCGGAAGGAAGAGCGTTCCAGACGGCCGTAGAAGCGCATCCGAAAGTGTGCGATGCGGTGTCCATCTTTGTTCGATGGCTAGCCAAAAGCCGCAACTGCGAGCATGACCGGAGATCATGTGATGACGAGATCAGCGAGGTATTGTGCTTCAATTGTGGCAAGCACTTTGTGTGTAATGAGCGTGACCTGACAACGTAATTAGTTCGGTAATCGGAAGCCAATGCAGCTCGGCGAGCACCAGATGGACACGCCTTGCCAAGCCACAGCTTTGCCACAGCCTTGCCAAGCCACAGCTTGGCAAGGCGAAGGCTAAAGGCTACGCTTGCACGGCCTCAACAGGGGGGGGGGGGGGAGGGGCTGCCGAGAACCACGGCCGTGCGCCGCATTGGGCGCCGCTCCTCGCTTGCAAGGCCTCAGCCAATGGGCGCCGCTCCTCGCTTGCAAGGCCTCAGCCAATGGGCGCCGCTCCTCGCTTGCTAGGCCTCAGCCAATGGGCGCCGCTCCTCGCTTGCTAGGCCTCAGCCAATGGGCGCCGCTCCTCGCTTGCTAGGCCTCAGCCAATGGGTGCCGCTCCTCGCTTGCTAGGCCTCAGCCAATGGGCGCCACTCCTCGCTTGCTAGGCCTCAGCCAATGGGCGCCGCTCCTCGCTTGCTAGGCCTCAGCCAATGGGCGCCGCTCCTCGCGTGCTCGGCCTCAGCCAATGGGCGCCGCTCCTCGCTTGCTAGGCCTCAGCCAATGGGCGCCGCTCCTCGCTTGCTAGGCCTCAGCCAATGGGCGCCGCTCCTCGCTTGCTAGGCCTCAGCCAATGGGCGCCGCTCCTCGCTTGCTAGGCCTCAGCCAATGGGCGCCGCTCCTCGCTTGCAAGGCCTCAGCCAATGGGCGCCGCTCCTCGCTTGCTAGGCCTCAGCCAATGGGCGCCGCTCCTCGCTTGCTAGGCCTCAGCCAATGGGCGCCGCTCCTCGCTTGCTAGGCCTCAGCCAATGGGCGCCGCTCCTCGCTTGCTAGGCCTCAGCCAATGGGCTCCACACCAGCCGGACCGGAGGCATCGCGTAGACACACACGTATATATGCATGAGTGGGTAGGGCGCCGCGTTGGCTAGGAGATGTTAACTACCTCGCCTGGTATACAGGAGGTCATGGGTTCGATCCCGACTCAGACGACTGCTGTATATTTAGAGTTTGCGTCTCTCTCTCCCCATGGAGACGTGGATATTTCTCCGGGGTCTCTGGTTTTTCCCCTCCACATTTAGAATCAACGTCACCACATGTTTAGAGTATTTAGCTGCTGCTATAAATGTCCACATGATGATGATGATGATGATAAGCCACTTCGTTGAGCTATTGTTTGCGATGGGCCAGGTCGCTTCTGCCCAATGAGCTACATAGCTCAGTGGGACCTTACCTGGTTGAAATTGAATTATTTTAGTCGTAGTTTAGTCTTGATATACATATCCAAATGAATCACTGTGATGAGTGCAGATGCACGTGGGTGCGCCGTGCGGGACCCACCTGCTGGGGTTGGACGCGGTGTTCTCGTAGCTGACTGTGTACGTCTCCTCCTCGTATTCCTGCAGTGCAAAAAAATACGGACGTCACACGCCAGAACCAATCAGAACATGTGATTTGCACCAGAGGTGATCTGATAATGAGTTGGCTAATAAATCTCTTTTTTTTTCTCCCCAAAGACGTCCAGTAGTTTCACAGAGATCCAGTAGTTTCACACACGTCCAGTAGTTTCACACATGTCCAGTAGTTTCACACACGTCCAGTAGTTTCACACATGTCCAGTAGTTTCAAAGATGTCCAGTAGTTTCACACATGTCTAGTAGTTTCAAAGATGTCCAGTAGTTTCACACATGTCCAGTAGTTCACACATGTCCAGTAGTTTCACACATGTCCAGTAGTTTCACACACGTCCAGTAGTTTCACACATGTCCAGTAGTTCACACATGTCCAGTAGTTCACACATGTCCAGAAGTTTCACACATGTCTAGTAGTTTCAAAGATGTCCAGTAGTTTCACACATGTCCAGTAGTTCATACATGTCCAGTAGTTTCACACATGTCCAGTAGTTTCACACATGTCCAGTAGTTTCACACATGTACAGTAGTTTCACACATGTCCAGTAGTTCATACATGTCCAGTAGTTTCACACATGTCCAGTAGTTTCACACATGTCCAGTAGTTTCACACATGTCCTGTAGTTCACACATGTCTAGTAGTGTTAAAGATGTCCAGTAGTTTCACACATGTATAGTAAGTCACAGATGTTCAGTAGTTCACAGATGTCCAGCAGCTCGAGACGAACGTGGCGCCGGGAGGCGCGCGCATGCGCACCGTCGCATAGGCTGAAGCTGTAGTCCAGAGCAGCGGCTCAAAAGAACTTGGATCGTGCGGCCGGCTTGTTGATTAGACCACCGGTTCACAAGAGTCGGGAATAACGCGGGCCATCTAAAGCTGTCTGAATCGGTCCCATCGACTCTCCAATTTGGTGGGCTGAATGACAAAATGTCCGCTTACTCGGTTCTGTTGAGGTGGCCGTCTGGATGAAGGCCGGGTGCTTTTGTACGTGCAGTGCTGCAACACCGAGCGAGGTCACCCTCGCAGCAGCGGCGTCTGGCTAAGCCATCGAACAGAATCGGTCACCGCATCACGCGCGCTTTCAGATGCGCTTCTGCGGCCGTCTGGAATGCTTTTTCTTCCGATATTAGGAAGTCACTGGAGCTATGTACTTTTACATCATTATCTAGATTTAAAATAATCTCTTTAGAACCTGCTTTTTGTGCGTTTAGTCTGTCGTCCTTCCCCCGCACCTCCGATGAGTACCATCGGCTACATACGGTGCGAAATAATTTCAACACACACACACACGCACGTACAAATATATTCGTCGAGATGCCTTACAGCAACGTTTTTCCCATCAGATTCTAACGAACGCCCTGAGAAGCGCCGTGGTCTCTGTTACGCTGCGGGCGGTCGTCAGACATGCACGTGCACGTAACAAGTCTAGCGACCTTCATCAGTTCCTGCGCAACCGCGCTGGCGCCAATCCAGAGTTCCCCCCTTTCCCGGGGCAGGCACCACGAACTTTTAAGCGGGCGGCAAGCTTATAGAACTAAACTATCGAACGAGTTCTTCGGCAAAACGGCGCCCCGAGGGATGTTTCGTCTGAAACACGACCCCGCCCCGGTTATTTGCATCGTGGCGATGATTAATTTATCCGTTCGTTTGCGCGCCCCTTCTGAACACCACCACCACCAGCCGCCGCCGCCGCCGAAGACGGCGACGACGAAGACGGCGAAGAGCCCTTCGCGGCGGCAGCTCGCAGCCCGACGCGAACTCGCCGACTCGCTTTCAAACTTTGTTGGTGTCGTAACTTCCACGCGACTTTACGCTTTTATCCCGACCGCGCCGATCGGCGTCACCGTCGCCGCACAGAACTCTAGCGCAGCAGCGCGGCAACGCTCGAATTGAGATTTTTCCGACAGATATTGAGATGAAAAATTTTTTCAAGTCAAGCTTCAGTTCAATATTCACTGTGTAGTAGATTTTAAACACGTGATGGAGCATTACCACGTGATACCATCAAAATACGAACTGTTCTATATATTCTAATGCAAGGATGAGGACTTAAAATATATGAATTGCTTCCAGCGTGTATTTATGAAAATGTTTGAATTGAAATAGAACAATCAAACATAGAACAATTGTTAAGTTAAATAAAGTTATACAATTTCAATAAGAAAGTAATAGGACTTTTAAAATCGCAAAAAAATCGCAGCCTTTGCGATTTGCTAATCGCATTGTTTCAAATTGCGATTTCGATTTGAAATCTATGAATCATTCAGCCCTAATACAAACGTTCGTTTTTTGAAATTTCGTGCTCAGACAATCGACAAAATTACGGGAGAGTTTTACTTGGCGAAAATTGCCCCGGCACAACGCGCAAAAAAGTTAACTCAGCACAGGCTACCGGACACGCGCCGGACAGTGTGACGGAGGCAGCCCTTGAGACGCGCCCATTGCCAAATCATCCAACGGTCGATGGCAGGGCGAAATCTCGGCCCTCGTCTAGGCAGACACAGCCACAAATGGGTATCGAGCACCGCCTAATGTGTGTGAACACCGCCTAGTGTGTGTGAACACCGCCTCATGTGAATGAACACCGCCCCATGTGTGTGTGAACACCGCCTCGTGTGTGTGAACACCGCCTCGTGTGTGTGAACACCGCCTCGTGTGTGTGAACACCGCCTCGTGTGTGTGAACACCGCCTCGTGTGTGTGAACACCGCCTAATGTGAGTGAACACCGCCTAGTGTGTGTGAACACCGCCTAATGTGTGTGAACACCGCCTAGTGTGTGTGAACACCGCCTCATGTGAATGAACACCGCCCCATGTGTGTGTGAACACCGCCTCGTGTGTGTGAACACCGCCTCGTGTGTGTGAACACCGCCTCGTGTGTGTGAACACCGCCTCATGGGGGAGCGTGCGTGGTGGTGGTGGGGGGCGCTACATCGGGGGAGCGTGCGTGGTGGTGGTGGTGGTGGTGGTGGGGGGCGCTACATCGGGGGAGCGTGCGTGGTGGTGGTGGTGGTGGTGGTGGGGGGCGCGTGGTGCCACTCACGTATTCTCCGTGCGTTGGCGCCGGCGCCGCCATGTACACGTCGTGGGCGTCGCGCGCATGGGGGCGGGAGGGCACCGCGCCTGGCACGGCGCCGTGCGGCGCGCGCACCACGCGCACGGGGCGAGACATGGGCAGCGCTACCGCAGCCACCACGTGGCCACTGCTGCTGCTGCTGCTCCGCCACGGGGGCACAGGGAGGTGGGGATGAGGAGAGGGAGGAGGGGAGGGTGAGAATGGGGAGGAGGAGAGGGGTGGAAGGTGAGGAGGAGGAGGTGGGGAACGGGAGAAAAGGGAGGAGGTGGGGAGGAGGGGAGGATGAAGAGAGGGGGAGGGTGAGGAAGAAGCAGGAAGTGGGATGAGGAGGAGAGGGGGAGGATGAGAGGGAGATTAAGGGGAGGAGAGGGGGAGGAACGTGAGAAAGGGGCAGGTTGCGTAAGGAGCAGGTGGGGTTGGGGACGGGGATGCGGAGTAAGGCAAGAAGGAGGAGGTGGGGAGGGGGACGAGGTGGGGAGGGGGAGGAGGGAGATGAAGAAGGGAGGAAGGCGGAGGAAACGTGCTCAATCAGAAACACGCGTCGCCACCACAACACCCGCAGAGACACCTTGCCAGGCCATCATCATCATACCACCACCACCACCACCACGAGCCATAAACATCCTTAATAAAGATAATTACCACGAAAGGCAGCTTTATGGACCTTGCGTAGCGACTGACTTTTGAACATTTTAATGTTTCTTCGTGCCAACTTTATCGCCCTGTACAAATGTTTGCGTGCTATTGCGACGTAACAGGATGCAATAAACTACTGAGCATTAAAACGAATGACTACCGGAATCGTTTTAGCCGCATCTGCCGAGCGAGGAACGGTAGATTTATCACCCGCGCAGACCAAAGTCTCTCCGATATTAAAACTGACCACCCTGTTGAACGCAACACTTTGCGCCCGGCACAGTTCACTTTGCGCTTTGAAACGAACGCGCTTGCCCACGGTTTCACTGGCAATTAAAAGGCAAACCCCCTTTAAAGACAATGCTGAAAACCTTGATTCACAATCGATATTTTGGGGGGTGGGAGGAACGCGTGAAGATAAATGGCGTTAAGGCGCGCCGGCGAGCGACGCGGCCGAACGCGTTTACTCGCCACACCGCCCTTGAGAGAGCCGTAGCCTGGAGACATCCTCACTCTGGTCGTGAGGATGACTCCTCTTCTGGACCCGATGGGACGAGCGAGTCATGACGATCACGGCCGCCACTTCCCTACACCCCACTCGCTCAACCACCCCGCACCACTACCGTTACACGTGTGCTGGTTCGACTGAAGGAGGGGGGGGGGAGGGGGGGGTCGAGATCGTTCCCAGCAACGCCGGCAACGGGTGCCGGCCGTCACACGGCCCCCAACCCCCCCACACACACACACACGTGTAGATTTGTGTCGTGAGACGGGAGGAAAACGAGACCGCCGAAAGGGCGGCTTGCGGGGCCACTTCGTCGAGCGCACGCACGCATGGCACACACGCGACACGCACGCACGCGTGACACGCACGCACACGTGACACGCACGCACACGTGACACGCACGCACACGTGACACGCACGCACACGTGACACGCACGCACACGTGACACGCACGCACGCACGCGGCGGCGGCTCGCGCAGTCACCGTGAGTCACACGATGACGCTCTACGCTATTTGCATACGCGGGTGACCTTTCCACGGGCACGGCTAATCAATCATCATCGACGCCACCTTGCCACACTCCTTCCTCCCTACTCGTTCCCTCCCCCTCCTCCCTCCCTGCCTCCTCCCCTTCCCTCCGCCCTCCTGCTCCTCCCACTCCCTTCCCCCTCCCTCTCCCGTCCTCCTCTTTTCTCCCCCTCCCTCCTTCTCCGCCAAGTTCTTATCGCCTTCTGCTCGATTCGAGCAACGGCCAAAACTCTCTCGTCTGTTCAAACTCCGATTGCGGGCCTCTTTCGCAGCGACCGCGATTAAAATCGAATGCAAAACCAACAAAGAAAACGGCATCCCGCGTGTTGTTTTGTCGGCGCGTCCGCCCTGCACAGAGAGGTGGCCCGCGGCCAGCAATCAATGGGTTTATTTCACATCCTGGGGTAATTAATGGGTACGGATGGGGGTAATTAAAGGGTACGGAGTGGCTGACGTCTCATGGCAGACGCGAATGACCGTGTGCTAATGTAGCAAGACCGCGCGGACCATCGGTCACAAAGCGGTGGGCGAAGTGAACCCTGCGTGAGTCAATGAGTCTCTACGCAAGTCCGCGACTATTTGCGGAAGTCGATGATTCCCCTCCACGCAGCAACGACTTTTGGGTCTCCCGATTATTTTTGTCAAAACCACACAGGGAGCGAAGCAGCGCAAATTCTACGCGAGCCTACGAGTCTCGAGGAACTCCACGCAAGTCTACGAGGCCTCTACGTAAGCATCGGAGTCGCCGTGTGAAACCAGACAGGAGTTGAACAGCGGTGAACTCGGACCGTCCCAGCGAGTCGTAGACGTTGCTCGTCACGCAGGTTGCAGGCAAGAAGACGAGGAAGATTAAGAAGAGGAAGAAGCTAATTCTCACCGTGCCATGTGGTGGGGGGCTTGACGAGACACGGGGCGGCCTCTCCCGGGCGGCCCATGGCTCGCGGGAGCTGGCACCAGGGCGTAGGCCTCCTCCTCTTCGCCGTTCATGTAACTCGACTGCCCGTTCGTTTCGTAGTCCTACAAAGACAAAGATCCCCCGCATAGCCTTAGCAAACTGTAGGAGCAAGTGCCGCTGTTAGAGGGTAGCACCCCATGAAGGCCGGCACGGTACACGAGGGATGGGTGGCCAGCACCACTCCCGACCGCCTTTGTCTCCCCAGTGGCGATGTTATTACACTCCGCGATGTGTTACGAACCCGGCGACCCGAGTTCGATTCCCGCTCACGGGCAAACACCGGTGACGATTACCTGAACCGGTCCTGGGGCCTTCCCCTAGGTCGACTCAGCCTCAAATGAGTACCCAGTGCAGTGCGCGGTAAACATCGCCACTGTACCAGCCACCCACCCCCTCGTGTGCGTGCCGTGCCGGCCTTCGTAGGCGCTCGCCACCCGCTCACAGCACGTGTCCCAACAGTCTCTTACAGGCTCTACGAGGGAGGGAGGGGGGCGGGGGGGAGAGAGAGAGAGAGACCTTTTCTCTTTGTATTGCCCCTCATTTGCCGGGCGAGGCCTGCTCACCGGCTGGAGGAAGTTTTGCAGCTCGGCGATGGCGGCCGCCATGCGTGCATACGCCTCCTTGGGCGGCGCGTTCACCATCACGAACACGTGCAGCTGCTCCTTGAGGTGGGCGTACTTGAGCTCCGCGCCGTTTCGCAGCTCCTCCTCCTGCAAGCGCAGCAGCAGCAGCAGCAGCAACGGCGGCAGCAGCAGCAGCAGCGGTAGCAGCAGCGGCGGCAGCAGCAGCAGCAGCAACGGGGCGTTAGAGGGAAGCTTTTAACACAAAGTGCTCGCCACAAATGAACCACAGTACCTTGCTGATCTCGTCAAGGAGCATAAACCAACGTCACGCAAACTCCGGTCATTCTCATAGCAGCGGCTTTCGGCTCGCCATCGAACAATGGCGGTCACCGCATTGTGCGGCATTTTTCAGATGCACTTCTGCGGCCGTCTGGAATGCTCTTCCTTCCGATATTAGGAAGCCACTGGACCCATGCACTTTTAAATCGTCAAGACTGACAAACTCATTTCTTTAGAACTGCTTTTTGTGTTTGGTTTCTCGTCCTCCCCCCCCCCCCACCTCCGATAAGCACGGTTGGCGACGTACGGTGCGAAAGAAGTTAAACATACAGGCCTACACACGTACATACAGTGAGGGAAAAAAGTATTTGATCCCCTGCTGATTTTGTACGTTTGCCCACTGACAAAGAAATGATCAGTCTATAATTTTAATGGTAGGTTTATTTGAAGAGTGAGAGACAGAATAACAATAAGAAAATCCAGAAAAACGCATGTCAAAAATGTTATAAATTGATTTGCATTTTAATGAGGGAAATACGTATTTGACCCCCTCTCAATCAGAAAGATTTCTGGCTCCCAGGTGTCTTTTATACAGGTAACGAGCTGAGATTAGGAGCACTCTTAAAGGGAGAGCTCCTAATCTCAGCTTGTTACCTTTATAAAAGACACCTGTACACAGAAGCAATTAATCAATCAGATTCCAAACTCTCCACCATGGCCAAGACCATCTGAAGTTTGCCAATGAACATCTGAATGATTCAGAGGACAACTGGGTGAAAGTGTTGTGGTCAGATGAGACCAAAATGGAGCTCTTTGGCATCAACTCAACTCGCCGTGTTTGGAGGAGGAATGCTGCCTATGACCCCAAGAACACCATCCCCACCGTCAAACATGGAGGTGGAAACATTATGCTTTGGGGGTGTTTTTCTGCTAAGGGGATAGGACAACTTCACCGCATCAAAGGGACGATGGACGGGGCCATGTACCGTCAAATCTTGGGTGAGAACCTCCTTCCCTCAGCCAGGGCATTGAAAATGGGTCGTGGATGGGTATTCCAGCATGACAATGACCCAAAACACACGGCCAAGGCAACAAAGGAGTGGCTCAAGAAGAAGCACATTAAGGTCCTGGAGTGGCCTAGCCAGTCTCCAGACCTTAATCCCATAGAAAATCTGTGGAGGGAGCTGAAGGTTCGAGTTGCCAAACGTCAGCCTCGAAACCTTAATGACTTGGAGAAGATCTGCAAATAGGAGTGGGACAAAATCCCTCCTGAGATGTGTGCAAACCTGGTGGCCAACTACAAGAAACGTCTGACCTCTGTGATTGCAAACAAGGGTTTTGCCACCAAGTACTAAGTCATGTTTTGCAGAGGGGGTTCAAATACTTATTTCCCTCATTAAAATGCAAATCAATTTATAAAATTTTGACATGCGTTTTTCTGGATTTTGTTGTTGTTATTCTGTCTCTCACTGTTCAAATAAACCTACCATTAAAATTATAGACCGATCATTTTTTTTGTCAGTGGGCAAACGTACAAAATCAGCAGGGGATCAAATACTGTTTTTCCCTCACTGTACCTAGAATCCGTCGAGGCACGAGGGACAACATCATCGCCTCTGTTGCGAGGGCGACCTGAGCTACATCAAGGTCAATTTAAGAAGACGCACGATATAAAAAAAATACGTAAATGTAACAGCCATAAACCGAATGCAACAATAAATAAAAATACGGCACAATGTGACTATGGATATTAAAAACAAAAGGATAAATTGCACCTGAAGGCGTAAGTGTGAAGATATTAAATAAAGACAAAGATCCCGAGTGTCGCCTGAACACTTTTGGGGCAAGTGCTGTTAGCGAGTGGCACCTATGAAGACCGGCGCCGTACACGAGGGGGCGCGTGACCAGCACCACGCCCGACCGCCTTTGTCTCCCGAGTGGCGATGCTTACACACCGTACCAGGTACTCATTTGAGGTCGCGTCGACCTAGGGGAAGCCCAGGACCGGTTCAGACAATCGTCACCGGTGTTGGCCACGAGCGGGAATTGAACTCGGGTCGCCGGGTTCATCGCGCAGCACCAACCACAACACTGGCGCTCCCCATACCCAATCGCGCGCGCACACACAGGACGCACCACGGCCGTCAGCCGCGGGCAGCAGGGGACCCGGTCAGGTCGAAGGGGTGCAGCCGTGGGAACTGGTTAGGCGGCGACGCCATCAGGCAGCAGTGTCAACGGTGCAACCTTTCACTTGAACCCTACCCCCACCCCCCACATTGTCATGCTGTGGACGAACTGGGAGGTCGTTCAATCTGTCAACAAGACCTCGCAGTCTCTACCAAACAGGCATTCTCCACCTGCATGCTTGCAGCACCGGTCAATCGACAACCACTCTTCAGAGACACTTAAAGAGCCCACCTCGTTCTTAAAGGCCCCAAGTCTTTCTCAAGATCCCCACCTCGTTCTTAAAGGCACCCAACCCTTTTTTTTTAAAAGCAGGCGCAGAGGCCACTCGCGGTGTGGCCTCAAAGTGCACTTGGCCTGGCACAGGAGCAGCGGCGTCGTCGTCACCGCCGCTGAGTGGCGGAAGGCGGATGTTGGTATTGGTGCGCGAGTGCGCGTGCGGGGCGGGAGTGTAGTCGAGGGTCACAGCTTCGAGTGAGCGCTGTCGAGCGTTGCCAAGCCGGGTTTGCAACACGCGCACGGCGGGTTTGCCTCGGGACCCGCCAAGCGTTCTCTGGCTCTCGCTGCTGTGCCGAGGTGGGTGGCCAGCACCACGCCCGGTTGCTTTTGTCTCCCCAGTGGCGATGTTTACACGCCGCACCAGCTACTCCTTTGAGGCTGAGTCGGTTCAGGTGGAGGCCCAGGACCGGTTCGGATCATTGTCACTGGTGTTGGCCGTGAGTGGGAATCGAACTCGGGGCCCCAGGTTCGTGGCGCAGTGCGCTAACCGCTACGCCAGCGCTACTCAAACACAGACTGCGCGCACGCACGCACGCACACAACCACGCGCAGACAGACAGATGACCGAGTCGGGAATCAAACCCAGACCCTTCTTGCCGTGTGGCGGCGGTGAACATCGGCCACCGGGCGCGGCCCAACCAAGAGAGGAAGCAGTACGTTTGAATGACAAGGCCTGAATTAGCACGGCTGAAAAAAAAACAGCAGGCGTGAAATCAGAAGGTAATCGCGGTATTTATAGCGCCTGGGGCAGGGCAGGGAGGGGCACATTCCAGCGGGGCCGGCGTCCGTCCCGGCCTCACACCGAGGAGAGCCAGGTCCCAGCCTCCACATTCCTAAACCCCGAGCCATCCTCCGCACTCCTCCCACATACCTCCCGCATGTCTCCCGTACGTCACCCGCACTTCACCCGAACTTCACCCGAACTTCACCCGCACTTCACCCGTACGTCCCCGTAGGTCTCCCGTACGTCTCTCGCACATCACCCGCACATCTCCCCCACACCGACATCTGCCAGATGTCTCCCGCACATCTGCCGCACGTCTACCGTACGTCATCTGCACGTCTCCCGCATGGTTCCCGTACGTCTACCTATGTCGCAGTGACCGCCAAGGACTTACGAAACTCGCCCCACCTTTTCAACTGCTGCCCCAGGGGTTCGAATGGACGTTCGGCGAACCTCTGGATTGCGAGCCCACTTCTTAAAGTCCACCAACTAATATATATATTTTACCAGGTAAGGCTTTAGTTTGTCGTCCTTCCCGCGCACCTCTAGTTAGCACGGTTGGCTACGTACGGCGGAAAGGAAGCTCAACATACATGCATACAGGCTCCACTGAGCTATTCATCTCTTTTTCAGAAGCAACTTGGCTATCACAAATTATAGCCCCACGAAGTGGCTTATCATCATCGCGTGTTAATTTATAGCAGCAGCCAAATACTCTTAAAAGCGTGATGTTCATTCTAAATGTGCAGGGAAAAACCGGAGGACTCGGAGAAAAGACCACATGACCACGGGGAGAGAGAGACACGCAAACTCCAAATATACAGCAGGCGTCAGGGTCGGGATCGATCCCACAAACTCCTGCATACTGTGGCGCCCCGTATGGTGGGGTAAAGTGTGGGTACATGGAAACACCAGGCCGGAGACAGAGGCAGACACAGAAAGAGGTGATTCACGCCATGGGAGTCATGTGGGTTAGTTTGACCATACCTCACCACACTAGTCAGTGCGGGTTGGTGAGGAGCACAGGCGTGCAGTACAATAATGCATTTTACCATCCACCACATGACCAAACAACCTACAACAGCTGTTATGCATGGCAGTCGACCATTAAAGCCCTGCAGAGGCTCAACCCAGCTCAGGTTCTGAGAACTGATGGGAGCGGGTGGTGGGGTGGAGGGTGCATGCCGGGTGATTTGGTGATAGGCAAAGAGATGTCTCTATACAAATATACAACAAAGACAAAGATCCCCCACGTAGCCCTTGAACAGACTGTTGGGGCAAGTGCTGTTGGCGAGTGGCACCGATGAGCGCCGGCACGGCACGCGAGGTGGATGGGTGGCAGGCACCATGACTCGCCAGTGCCAACGTTTACATACCAGGTACTCATTTTCGGTTCAGTCCACCTAGGGGAGGCCCGGGACCGGTTCAGATAATCGTCACTGGCGTTGGCCGTGAGCGGTGAATCGAACCCGGGTCGCCAGGTTCGTAGCACAGCGTAGCGCTAACCGCTACACTACCACTCCTCATACACAAACTGCATACACGCAGTTTGCCCGGCTCTCTCTGGCAGAGCTCTTCGCCTGCTCGAGTCAAGGAACCGTGGCCGCGAATGCTGGGAAGTGGAACGGATGCGACGCGGTCCGTCTCTCCAACGGGACCCCCCGTGACCCAGTTTGGCTTC